GGGAGACCCAAAGACTTATCCTCTGTAGCAAATGGAAAAGAAAAGAAGGCTGCTCCTCTGCTAGGGCCATTGATGTGGGAAAATAGAAAAACTCACAGCTGAGTTTCTGTGCAGTAGACAGAAGCAAAACCATTCCAAAAAAACAAAACAGGTTGGTTTATGTGTTGGAAGGTGACCCCAGCTCACATCACTCTGCCTGCCCTACAGCCTGTTCTGCCTCATGCAGCAAGAAGATCATGTTTCTACTCTCCTCATGACCTGATGGGTGCATGGATTTGAAGACAGCACTGGAGAAGCAAAGCTGAAAAGCTGAACTGCAGGATGGAGTGGTAGGAGGGTCACCTCATAATTTGCTGGGGCTAAGCTTGTGATGCTGGCGTGCATGCTGTAGAAAGTTGCCTGAGTTTTGGCAAAGAGCTGCAGCTCTTACTGAAGGGCTATAGGATGCTATTTTTCTCCTCTTTCTGTACTGTCTTTCTTATTTTATCGTAGGTTTTTTTTTTCTCTCTTCTCCCGCCTCCACCCCTTTCCCCCCCGCCCCCCCCAAAAAAGCAACAAAAGCAAAGGAACAGCAAAAATCTTCAAAGCAATTCTGTCTGGCAGTTCCAAGATATGGTGTAACTCACCTTAGCAAGCTCCACTGGATTAAAAGGATGTATTTGGCAGCTTCTTGCTGCTTTCCTTAAGGAAAGTCTGCCCTTTTTGGTTTGTTAAGCACCTAAAATGGCTGGATGAGATTACTACACTTTCTTTTAATGATCCCAGAAGAGGTTGATGCCACTTTTGCAAGGCTTATACTACCTGTCTCGTAATTGGTAGCAGACAATTGACAAGCAAGTGTCTCATTTGGGGAAAATTGCAAATTAGAACAGTTACGATGCTGCAAATTAGAGATGTAGCATAGCCCATTATTTCTGGCCCAACTCGTGTGACACAGGGCACTGCTGAGGCTTGAATATTCCTGAGACATTCTGAGTGATGTCTGTATGTGTCCCATAGCAGCAGCTGGAAGCGATGTGTGAAGGGCTGAGCCTGGTTTGCAGATTCCATGTGCCACTGGCCTGTGCTAGCCAGAGGAGCTGGGTTGTGGGTAGACATGTCCTCTGCTTGCCATCAGCTTCATCCTCATCACCCTCTGTCTAACTGCTGGTGTCTGCACCACCTGCCATCAACCTCCAGAGCACGGCCAAAAGCAGCAACTCACCCTGGGCATGTTCTTGCTCCCTAGACCACCCTTCTAGAACCATTCCTGTTTAATGCTAGTTTTCCCTCGCTGGTTGCTGCTTGGTATCTGTCAGGTAGGCAGTTCTTAATCTGCTTAGGGCTTTATTGATGCTATATAGTACTATTTTTTTAAAACAAAATGTCATTTGATACTAAGTCAAAAGCCCTCCAAAGATCTAAGCCTATTACTTCTGGACAGTTCCGTTCATCAACCAAATTTGTAATCTCATCACAAAGTAAAATCAGGTTTGTTTGACAAGGCCCATTTTCCATAAAGCAAATGAATTGGCCTTGCTGTATTCCCATCTTTAATTCTTCAGTGAATGAGCCCTCTATGGAGGTTTCCACAATTTTGACCTGGATTGATGTTATATATCCATTTTACCTTGCCTGTCTTTTTATAGCACTGGCAAGACTTTACTACCCTCTGAGGATGATGGGTGTGGACTATGCTGCTCTGAGATGCCCAAAGGAATCATTTGTTGAAAGCCAGACTCCCAGCTGTGCATCAGAACAGCAAAGCAAGAGATCCTAATTGGAGGCAGTCTGGAGGGCATAAGAGCTTAGAATAGGTGACAGGGCTGCAAGGACAGGTCTCTAAGGACACCAACCTCTAGGTATAGGCCATCCTACTAGACCTGCTTAGCTAAACAGAGGAATCATTGATCTGACCTGTTTCATGCTCAACAAAAATGGAAAGGAACTGAACTGAAGCCAGTTGTTTTGTAGGAAGTGCAAATTCAGGGCAGTGTTTTTAAAGCATCTGGCACCCAAGAGCTTTGGGTTGGGGTAGAGATGCCAGGTGCTTACTGCAATTAAAACAACTCATGGGACAATTCTTCAGCTGATAGCTATGCTTAGTTTTTCTGGTTCACCCTCTCTAGGAGACTGCACTGAAGGTTCTCACTTTGATGGGGGCTATGGCACTTAGCACAGCTTCTTGACATCCTTACTTTTGTTACTGGTCCAGAAAAAAGAAAAATCCAACATAGCAGCAGCAACACTGAGAATCTGGCCCTAGTAAGACCCAGTTTTTCTAAGAGCTGTCAATAAATATTACCTTTCATAATGCTCCACAGGTAATCTGCTCCCTGCATGCCTCCAGATATGGCAGCATAGGGAAGATCACAGTGTGTTGGAGTATAATATCTTGATCAATGAAGACTGCCCATCCATATGATTCCAGACGGCTTTGATCAGTGGCATCAGGAAGTTTGGTGAGTCTGCTTATTGTGTTATTGTGCTGAGTTCTTCAAGTTCAGCTGTAACCATATCCTCTTTTTTCCAGCTTTCCCTGGAAATCCTTTGTTAACTTAGCCTATTCCAATGGGTTATCTAGTCCACTTGTTATGATCTGCTTTTGTATTACTCTTCAAGTAGGCTTTGGAATAATGCCTCTCAGAGCTGCTCTGGCACTGCTTCAGTCTGGGCTATGCCTGAGCAGAGATTGCCTTTCACTACTTGAAAAGATGTAGATAGGTGAAGTGCTTGAATGTGGTGGTAGCTCAGGTGCTGATGCTGGGCACAGCTGGTTCTGTGGAGCTCTTTCTTGTACTTGTATTTCATAACTTGGGTAGCCAGCAGCTGCAAATACCAGGGCCATTATTTGGCTAGAGGATACATGAGGGGAAAACATGGCTCCAAGAAGAGAGAAAATTGGAGCAGTTACCCCAAAGCACAGGGAGTGTGTGGGTAGCCTTTCTGAAGCCACTTATCTTTCATCTTGGGAGACTGAAACCTTCATCATTGTGACACAGTAAATGTAACTTTCGCTACTTTCCCCAAATTAATTTAGGAAACAGAATTTCAGAAGCATTAAAATTCCTTGACAGTTTTTTTTTCCCCCACTTGAATCCTAATCACCAGTCATCTCTGGAGGTAAAAGCTTCACACCTGATTCCAGTCAGCCTTCACGTCCAGATACACGAAATCTGTGCGCCACTACCAGAGACACAGATTTCTTGTTGAAGGAGACTTGCACCTGCCAAGCTGTGCTTTCTACAGCTATGACTACATCTGTAAATATACCTAGATGTCTACAATATTTCTATCTACCACCATGTGTGAGCAGATCTGGTGACTGTCCTTGCTTGGGAACATTCCTGTGTAGATGGGTTTCATTCCCCCACACAGATCTGTTCCTCACTGTGTTCACACACAGCAGCTGTTCAACTGCTGTGAAAGCCTGGAAGGACTCCAGCTAGCCTGTGTTATCTGACATATTCCCACTACCTTGCCTCATGCCTGAGCCAGCTCCATTTGGCCCCTGTCTTCTCACAAGATTTATTGGCTAAACATTTTTTTCATGTAGGTAAAATTGCTCTCACAGGTCTTCCTGGAGATGGAAAATTGATATAAATTTCCTCTAAATGAGGCTTAGCTAATTTGCAGTTGTCTCTTGGCATCAGAAAGGCGTGGATTAACCCAAAAAGCTGCAGTTCTGCTTGTTCTCCTGGCAGCAAAGATGAGAACTAGGTAGTGGAGGCAGTCTTGGATTGATTTTGCATGATCAGATCTTTGTGACTTTTCAGCAGAGTCAAAGAAACTTGAAGGGATATAAAGTGCTCTCATGATTTATTTCATTGCTTTTAAAAGGAGAAAGGAAGTTTTTGCAATGTGTTTGTTTGTCTGTTGTATACAAGTGGTAGAACAAAGGATGAAATCTTTAGGGTAGTATCTTCCAGTCTAAGTGACTTTAGTGTCTCTGTTTTCCAGGATCCTGAGACTGAGAACTAGAGACTCAGGAGTGTCTGAGTGTCGAAGTAGGGAACTAGGCACACAGGTGACTTGTTGAAATGCCTATGAGAACCTTTGATGCCCAGATGTGCACCTCATCCAAGTAGACTTTGAGCTCTTGAAGGACTTAGTATCTACAGAGGGAGTTGTAAAAAAGAAGGGGACAGACTCTTTAGCAGAGTCTGTTGTGATAGGACAAGGGGAAATGGTTTCAAACTAAAAGAGGGGAGATTTGGACTGGATAGTAGGAAGAAGTATTTTACAATAACTGTGGTGAGGCACTGGCACAGATTGCCCAGAGATGGTGGAATCCCCATCCCTGGAGACACTCAAACCCAGAGTGGATGGGGCTCTGAGAAACCTGATCTTGCTCTAGGTGTCCCTGTTCATTGCAGGGGAGTTGTACTAGAAGGTCTTTAAGGGTTCCTTCCAACTTTGATTGTGACTATAACATGTTTAGGAAATGCTAAATATACTGCTGGGAATGGGGCAGCACTTGTAAGTCCCCACAGCTGTCAGAAAGCTGCTCTTCAATGCAGGAACCAAGACAGGGGTGTCACTGGGTGTCAGGGTGTCATTTTTGAAATAACCTTCTGTTGGAGACGAGGCTTTGGGTTCAAACTTAAATATTTCTGAAATATATGTCTGCTACTGGTGCCTCCAAGTCTAGTCTACAATGCTGGGGTATTATGAATCCTGAGATTGACCACTATTTTCCTAGGAAAGATGGTCACTATTTAACTCATGTATGGTCCCATGTGTTCAGACCTTTGTGGACATTTCTGTCAGCACTCTCACCTTTACTGTTCTGTTACCAAAGGTTTTGCAGACTTTCATGCAGTCTGAATATTTGCAGTGAAAGCCTGGTGAACTGTGTTAATTCAAGTACCTACACATTGAAGATTTATGTTATACTGAGAGCAGCATTACTTGGCAGCTCCAAGGGCAGAGAAATCATGATAGAAATTTGGGAGATAGAATATTTTGGCAGGCTTTTGAGAAGTATAACTTTTGCGACACGAAGATGACAGGGAAGCAGATAAGGATGCAAAAACATCAATTTATTTCTTTAGAAGAACTGTAAAAGGAAATTTTGACAGTTCCTTTGCCAAAATGCACTTATTTTGTTCAATATTTACTGTTTGCTGATCTTCACTCCAAACTTTATCCTCAATAACTTCATTTCCCTGTGTCTTTTTGTTTTTCTTTAAGAAGCAAAACACAAAGAATCAAAATAAAACCAAATTTCCCTCCTTTTTCCTGTTTTAGGAGCTTTTACAACTATTAGTTTTGGAAAACTTGATTCATTAGTACTCTTTTACTGTTTTTAAAATAAAATTAAGTAACCCTACAAGAGTATCCCATTTATAGCTTGAAACTAAGAAAATTAAACGCCACTTTTTGGGGGAAGTTTTCAGTTAGCTTAAACTGCCTCATCGCAGCAAAATGAGCAAATTAGCAAGACCTGGAAAGCTCTGTCTCTGCATATAACCATATAACATCATTATGCTGAATTTTTAAACTACTGTCAGTTTCTGTTTCATTAGTTAAAAAATATGTACATATATACACACACATATATACACAGGAAGAGAGATGATTGCAAGAGAATAAATTAATTTCTCTCCAGCTTTATCATTGTTGAGCAAGAACTATGTATCCTAGGAGATAAGAAGATTGTCTCAGATGACTGGAGTTTTACAAAATAGCGTTGAGATGAGTAGCCATTATCTTAGAGTAAAAACGCTTTGCGGAAGTGCATGGAAATAAAACCGAGTATTTCAAAGTCCTCTACAAATGTGGTCTATTTTAGCTTTGGAATTTGCAGTGTTCAGCTCCTTCACAGTCATTAGTATGTTTGTCCTTGAACAGCCCTGGGAGTTAAGGAAACAACTGGCTGGTGTATGAGTGGGCTGTGGGGCATGGAGAAACAAAACCTATGAATTTTGGATATAAGTCTTCACCTCCCAACCTCCTACGTCTTGGAGAATAGGGCCTTCTTTTGTTACGTAGCTTGTATAAGGGAGAGCTTCTCTTAGACTGTCTTGTGTTGCTCATAGGTGAGCGTTCAGCAAAGCACCCATCCTAAGGGTTTGGGGTTGGCAAATCTTTCTGGAGGGATGATATGGCAAGTGAAGTCAAGGTCATCCTCCTTCCAGGGGTCAGTGAGGGTACCAGGCAGAAACAGCCATAAATAGATTCCTTTTGTCCTGCTGTGCTTGAGTGGCCCGTGTAGCCCAAGAACAGCAGGAAAGACTCAAGCCATTAGCTCTCTGGCTGAAGAGGATGTGCCCATCTAAATGGTTCTCAGTGGCAAACAGCCTTCCAGCTAAGCAGAAGCTGCTTAAGATCATCAGAGAGGAGCACTATTTCTTGTCCGAAGGAAAAGAAACTATAAAGAAAATAAACTGTGAGGAAAAATGTTATTTAAAGAAAACACTGAAAACCAAAGAAAACAAAGTGTCATGGTTGATACGCACACAGAGTCAAGTACTTCTTGCCTGGTACTTGTATTCTACAGGTGACATGATTTGAGTGTTTTGCTGTCAGAGCTCCATGCCAGGGCATTCAAAGCTTTCTTGCTGATGCAGCTCACATCAGCAACAATGGAGGAAGCCAACAGACACAAAGGAAGAAAGAAAAAATTGGATTTGGAAGAAAGAAAAAGGTGTAGAAAGAGGTAGAAGATACTGATGTTTCAGGTCCTGCTTGTGTTTGAGCTTTTTGAAATTCATAAGGATTCAAGTGACACTCCGAAGACAAAAGTACCATTCCCTTCACTCAATTTTTAAATTCTCCAGAGGTAAGAGTTGCTGCAAACAGACAGTTCTTGGTATTAGTTCTATTGTACACGGTGAATGCATATAGCACTCCCACGCTTGTGCAGAAAAATTGAACAGTCAAAGCAGAATCTAATTATACATTCCAGATATATCTGTCTCACAGTTCAATATATTCATTACCTGGTATTGTTCCACCACTGCTTTCATCAACGCGCTTGAACAGCGCAATATACAATAAAAGTAAAATGGTATTCAGATGGTTATGTAAATTTGATAACTCCGCAAGTAAACTCTCAGTGGAAGTCATGTGGAAGGGAGGAATTTCCATGTTCCTCAGCAGATGGGGTCAGAGTGTTCTGAAAACAGGACCCATTATTTGGAGAAACTAGGAATCCGCTTTAGCTGTTGCTTTGACTCATGGGTTTGTGTTCAAAAAGTGTGGTTAGGAAGGGAGCAACTCTCTCCTTTTCCATTGGACTGGAAGTGATAGCTACTCAGCCAGCCTGTACCACATGTGGGTTTCAATACATACCCAAGAAAATCTGTCTCAGCCTGGAGGCATCACAGATCATCTGCAAGATGGTATAAAGAGCCTCCCACCCACAACTTCATGTTCAGTGTCACTGATTACCTTTGGACAGCCTGAGCACCTCTCCCCTGCAGTACTAGGACACTCATTGGACAAGTCTCTTCTAACTGCAGACCTCTGCTTCAGTGTTGGACTTGAGCTGGGACTGCAGAGCAGTCCTTCATCTTGGGGGACATCAACCTCGTTGCCTCCTGGAGAAGAAAACAATTCCACAAGAAATTTGGTGCCCGTAAAAGCTGTGCATGTTTGGAGTTTGGTCATCAAAACTTTTTACAAAAAGTTACTTTTGAATCACTCAACAAGGGAGGAACTCCCAAAGAAGGCTGCTGCCTCTGCCTGGTTTGGTTGAAAGACATGTGGGGAATTGTGGGCTGGCTGGTGTTACATGTTCTAGAGGTAGTTATGTGTTCAGCTTTGATGGCATGGCAGAGGGACACATGATAGCTGTTGGTAGGTGGTAGGTACGGGTGGGACAGATAAGCTGTTGGATTCATAGCTGGCCTTTCACAGGACAAGAGCAGCAAAAGCAAGCTACAAACCAAGATAGATTGGGAAGAATTTCTCTGAATTTCATAAGTTCCCAGAAGGAAGCAGATAGGATGGGATCTAATATTTTCCTTGCTTACGATACAGCCAAATTCAAGATAAGGTCATGTTGCTCAAATGAGCAAATGAAGCTGAATGTCACCATGAAGGGAGAACCCACAGCCTGTTTGGATCTTGTCCCAGTGCTGCACCTCTCTTTTGAGGAAGAGTTTTCCCTAATATCTAAATGTACCGTGAGTCCACTGTATGAAGAAGTGCACACATCTCACAGTGGGAAGAACAAAGACATCTCACAGACAATGTCTGGCATTTCAATTTCTCCCAATCCAGGTTGCCTGCACTGATCCTTGTTGGACCTGTCCCATAGGGTAATGTTTCATTTTTGTTTTGTAGCGGCTAAAGATAAGAAATAAAAAGGGTAATTTCACAAGGCTTTAAGAAATGAGTTAGGGGAAATAGGTAAAAACCCAGCTGACACTTGGGTAGCCAGCCATCAAGTTTAGGTTGTCTACTGACCTCTATTCATTAAGGAAATATTTCCAGCTAAATAAAGCCACTGATCAGCATTCAGTGAGCTCAGTGCAGAGGAGGTGACACAAGGACTGATGGATAGGAACAGTGCTGGCATATGGCACAACCCTCTACAACAAGAATGGGCAGCTCTTGTTTCTGTTCCTGTCTTGATGACTCCTCCATCTGGAGGAGGTGTTGGTACAGCAGCAGAGTTGGGGCTCCCCAAAATCCATCTGTACTTCAGGAAAGACTGTAGTGACTTTGGATGCCACCTAAAACTGTGATAGTTTCAGCAAAAGCATAGAGATGAGAAGGACAGGATGGCTGCCTCATTCTGGATTCACATCTCGCCCTCACACTTTCTGTCTTTATTTTCTCCTATATCTACTCTTTTCACTACACCCTGGAGTGCCATTTGCAGCCCCAGCCTCCACAACTGTTGCAGTAAAAGTGTTATAGCCCTTCCTGCCATGAATTCGGCCTACTGCAACTCATAGGAAGCCATCAGCAGGCTGCAAGACTGCATCATGTGGGGTGGAAGGGATGAAATGAGGACCTGGCTGAGCACTGAGTGCTGTGCCTATGGTCTGTAGTGCTGTGATAGTGGGAGGACAGCAGAGACAGCAAGAGAGACACCAGCTCCACCATCCACTTGGACAAGAAAAGACTACATCATTCCTGAGTTCATAGGATTTTATGACATCACAAAACAATCCAAAAGGGGCGCCTCCAGCAAACAAAGCTCAGCTCAATAACTACATATGCTCTGTTTGGAGTCTTCTTGCTTTGTCTTTGCTATATCAGTGGCTTGCAGGCACTCTGAAGGAGCCTTTGCACAGTTCTGGGGGAAGCAATCTGCAGGTATTTACATTTTGTTCATGGCAAAACAAACCAGAAATCTGTCTTGCTCCAAAGAAGATGCAAGTGTTATTTTCTTTCTCTTCATAAATTCTGACAAGAACAAGGAGGACAGATCTGCAGTGCCAAGACAGCAAAAGCTCTTGTATTTTTTATCACAACCCTTGTCAGAGGAATGGATTCATGCAATACCATTTTCTGCTCTCCTTACAATCTTTGTCACAAGAATAAGATTTTAATCCATCATGTGTCCTCCTAAGAGATGGTAGAGTTGCTGAAGACTCCTGTTTGCTGTGACCTGTAATTTGTTGGCCCCCTAGCCACCCTGTTGCCTTTCCCCAGGGCTCTCAGCTCTCTGCTCTCTTTGTTCCCTACCTGCATAGACCAGAGAGGAAACCAACTCAGCACTCTTAAAGGGCTGATATAACCACAGGAACTGGGCAATATTTTTTCTTCCTTACTGCTCATGTTGTGGAGGATGCGTTTTTAATTATACTAAAGGCTTCTGTGACAGCAAGATAGATATATACATTATTTTTTAATTTTGAGGAAAATTAATCAAGGCATCCCTGGGTTAGATGCCATCCCAGTAAACAAAAGTTAAGTTCTAGGGGAATTGGAGTGGTCTGGAGAGAGAGCAGCCAGCATTCAAACTAGGTCAGCCCATGTCCTTGGCTCCCACGTGGGAGATGAATCACACTGCATTCCCAAGTAAACCAACCCATAGAAAAATGTTTGCTTAACACAAAGTTGCCCATGGGCATTTAATTGAAATTCAGCCATTGCCAGTTGGATGCAAACATGCTCTGCAAGCATACAATACTTGTTGCTCACCTGTTTGTGGGTCCAGCCCCACATATTGACAGGGATCCTCTGGAAGTTCAGCATGAAAATACAGATGAAGATTTTCTAGTCTGACTATCCAGGAAAGCTATAGTTATAAGCAAGAAGGGCTGGTGGGGACTGCCTGGTATATCCCAAACTCTATGCAGAGAGGAACCAGAGTGGAGGAAACAGGGGCAAGGTCCCATTCTGCAGCACAGGGTCACAGTGCTGTGCCCTAAACATTGCTGGTAGTGAATATCACACCTCTTTGTTCCAGGAGCAGTAAAGCCAGCTGTGCCATCTGGGTGATTACAGCACTGTGCAGAGCTGTTTCCAAGCAAATGTCATTAAGTCAGATGACTTGCTCAGGCCTTTTCCCAGCAGTTTTGATACCACCTGGTGTAGTTTTCTTTTCTCCTGTTGCTGAAATCACATTGGCAGCATGAATTGGCTGACATGAAGGAATGCCTCAGGTATCTAAACATGTCCTTCACTGTTTTCTATAGCTACCTGAGATATTGGCTGGATAAAGAGACATGACAGCAAATCTGTGAGAACCCCAGTATCTGGAGTGGCATCTATAAAACCACCCAGCATAGTGCTTTTACAACACTTCCTCCAGAAGCATTAAATTTCTTTCAAAGCTTAGCCACTGGAACCACACTATCTCTGATCAAGCTGTGGATGTCCCTGTTCACTGCAGGGGGATTGGACAAGACAGGCATTAAGGTCCCTTCCAACTCAAGTGATCCTATAAAACCTTTTCTATAGATCAGGATAAAGAAAGGATGACCAGTCATTGATTACCATTAAGGGCAAAACAGACTCGAGCTGGGGAAGATTAATTTAATTTATTATCCATGGGCAACAGCTTCCCTAGACCTTTCAGCAACAGTGGCTACTCTGAAATTGATGTTCCATGTGCAACCACTCTCCTATACCTGGAAAGGAAATTAGGATTTTGCCTCTGCTAAAGGAGGCAGTAACTAAGGCTTGGGGCTTGCGTTGCCTATGTCCAGCTATTCCCATAGGGTGATAGAGATAGGATCCTCCCTTGGGAAGAGGCACCAGTGAGAAGTAGAGGAGGAAAACTGTTTCCCAAGGGAATCTGCAGTAACCCTGGTTGTGTGGAAAGACAACAAGCATTAGGAAAATTAGCAGTAAGTAGTGTTTGGGAGCAGACCCAGGGAAGTCAGGTCACAATGGCTGGAGATAATCCCCATCTGAACTGTGCAGAAGAGAGTGGATCAACAACCAAGAGGAGGCATCTGGTTGACATACATCAGTTCACTTTCTGGCAATGGTAGTGAGTCATCTCCCAGTGGGAGTGGCTGCAAAAGGCTGAAAGAGATGGGTCCTCTGACTAGGAACAAGCATTTGCCAGTTCTTGTAGAAAAATCAGAAAACTGGAATGCTACTAATACTAATCTTCTGTACTTGAGAAGGTCTGGGGAAGAAAATTCTGCATTCTGAGATGACTCTGTACGATAAGTTCAAAGATAATCACATCACGCAAGTCTACTGTATACTTAGTTCACGCACAATTGGCATGAATTGTGTAATTGGCTCCATGGAGGTACCAACATCCATGGCTTTCCAAGTCACAGAGTGAGAATGGGTTTCAGAAGCACTAGAACTACCTGGGCTGCCCCAGGGCTCACCATCTTCTATGCAACATTTGTGTCCATGCTGTGCCCCATTAGCTTAAGTAGTGCCTGCAAGTTTGCCTCATCTCTGAAAATGGTCTAGAAAGGAGATAAAATTATAGACCAGCTTATACACAAAAATAAGATAATTAGACTAAATTTCTTCAGCTGGGAAAAAGAATAGCTGAAGAAACACAATACAGACATATGAAGAGAAATGGCAAGAAAAGGACATAAAGGCTTGCATTTCTAATTCTGATAAAGACTTTTAGCCATCTGAAGTCAGAGTGAACACAGGGTGGTGGTTCTTCACAGAACAAGTAGTTAAACTAAAAATCATAGAATCACAGAAACTGTTTGTTGCTAGATCTTGTACAGCTCATATGACAAACAGTTGCAGCTTTTCTTGTGAAAAACCCTTCAGAAAGAATTCTTCTGAAAGATAACCACACTTGGGAACTGTGAGTCCCATTCCTCCACCTGATCTGGAACAGTGCCCATACTTCACTGCTGGGCAGCCTGGAGCAATAGCTTTGTTCTCCTCCAAGCCTGGCAGCTCAGACAACTGGAAATAGAAAATGGGCTCATACTGAACGTGAACATTTTAATTTACGCATCTGATTGATATTACACTGTAATTAAATTATATTCCCATGGTGCATATAACATCAGGGTTGTAGTAATACAAATAATTAGTAATTAACTCTAATCAGATCAGTTAGTAAATGGCAGAATCCAGATGAATATGCTGGCCAAGGGTGTGTGTGGTGGGGAAAGCCGAGGAAGAATGAAGAAAAGCTAATTTGTGCTGATGGATAAAGGAAGAAGTGAAAATAACAGGAAATTCAATTTCAAGAGAGCCCTTCTGCCAAAGAAAACAAGGATACAATCCTAAAAGATCCCTCTAGGCAACAATCATTCTGCAGCTCAGCTCCCAGAAGATGCTCCACTTTGGTCTGTCACATCCTGCCTCAAGTTCCTCCCAGATGCTAATCCCTTTCCTTATCACATTTTGTTACTGAAGTAAACGAAGGAACAGCACAACAGCATGTACAGAGCTGTATCTTAAACCAAAGGGATATTCCAGCTGCCTCCCTGCTGACAACTCCCTGGATAAGAAAGCTGTAATGGCACTTCAGTGCCTTCCTCAGCACACTAGCTGCACCTTGGCATGGAAGTTTGGGAACAGGTTACAAAACAAGTGCTCCCACTAAGCTCCAGGAGCAATTCTGAGCCCCAGAAATGGCAGGAATAGGAGAACATGTTGGAAAAAGCTTCTGAAAATGTACTGTAATGCAATGGAAAGCACAGCAACAACAGCAGAGTAGCAAAACTCCAGGCTGAAGCAAGTGAAGACTTGCTCAAATGCAGCAGCTGCAGACATAGAAACAAAAGGAAAAAAAATCTGCTTACCTTGAGAAGGCCTCAGATATGCAGTGACCTCCAGCAAGGTACCTTTGCCTTCACTGTCAGCGCTTAAATGAGGTCTGGGAAGTGGTAGATCCTGGCTCCAGCCCTTCCACTCATCAGATTCATTGCATGCACCTGAGCTCCCCTGGGTTGGCCCTGCCTTCAATCACTGCTTCAGGCTGTGACTTAGCATTTCCACTATAGACCTAGATGTGGAATTCAAGACTGATTAAAGCACAGCTCATAGGAAATGAATGTAAGTGTCTTAATGGTGCTGTAGGCACACAGAGCCCAACCTGAGCACACTGGAGTATTTTTCCCAAGGCTTCTTCTCTAGCCAGCAAACACAACACCTAATTCAGAGAATTGATCTCTTGCTCTGGATTGCCCTCAGGAGGCACTGTTTTCTCTCCATGAACACTGCAGAAGTCAGCAGAGATGAGCCAAACTAGACTGAAGCTTGTCGCCAGAAATCCCTTTCCCTGACTGAGTCCCACAGGATTCCAATATATTACTGCAGTACAGACCCAGAGATAAAGGTGTGATCTTCATCTCAGCTCTAAGGATGCTGAACAAGCCCATGAATCTTACAATAGAATCACAGAATCTCAGAATGGTTGGGTCAGAGGGGACCCTAAAGCCCATCCAGCCCCAACCCCCTATTATGAGCAGTGTTGCCCCCCACCAGCTTAGGCTGCCAAGGGCCCCATCCAACTTGGCCTGGAGCACCTCCACGGATGGGGCACCCACAGCTGCTTAGCAAACTGTTGCAAGTGTTTAGTGAGACCCTGGGGGCAGGGAAAAGCTGCTGTCCATTGACCTTGTGGATTTGGATATGTGGAAGGTGCCATGTTTAACCTTCAGAAGAAGGTTGATTTGAAAACTGAATAGGAGCCAGGGGCCTGGGCAGCATGGGCTGAGCAGCAGGAGTGTGTCTCGGTACCTGCAGCTTCCTCTCACAGAGCCCTTCTCTGAGCTTCTGTTTTCACTCCAGAAATGTGTGAGCAGACTGTGGGGGGAAACCAGGCAACAAGGGAAATAGTAGATGAGGATTTATTAAATTAATTAAAAGGATTTGGCTGAGCTGCTTGAGCAGACACACACAGACCTCCTTCAGGCCCTGATAGCAGGGCGAAATCGTCTGCTTCAAACCTGGCCAACCATTGGGGTAGGAGAAATTTGTGCAGGGAACATGACAGCAGAGGCTATGCCATTGCATGCACTGGGAAATCTTCTGAGCACAAGAAAATGCACCTTGAGATACTGGTGGCAGAAGCCAAATGCTACCACAGCATCACAATCATCACTGCAAAACAAGAGGGTTGTGTGCTTCCAAGGATGCGTTTCTCAGCGAAGAGGGTTTAGGATGGTATTATTGATAAGGTCAGGGAGAATTTTGTATCAGTGAGGAACAAAAGATTTGGGAATGGGACTTCTCAATGTGATAGATAACATCCCAATCTGAACGTCTGTTTCAGATTTGAAACAGAGCAAAACTGCATTTTGGCTGTTCCTTAAAAAAGAAAAAAAGTAAACAAAAGGCTTTTAACAATTTCATTTTGGATCTAACACACAAGGATTCAATGGAATGAAAACTCACCATGCGCTCTTGCCAGCTGGATGGCACTTTGGTCAGTATCAAGCGTTTTTGAGACGAATAATTTCTAAATAGAATAGGCTGTGTTGCATTTCAAAAAGGTCAGCGTGAAGTATTCCACCATTGCAGAGGGCTTGGCTTTTTATTTTCTCAATTATAAAATGTCCTTGAGAACAACATCTCCCCGCAGACAAGCTTTTCCTTTTGATTGAATGGCGTTTTCTCTTGGAAGACGTTCTAAGCAAACATAAAAATGATGAGAAAATGTGACCAGATCTAATTGCTGCTTTGCGCCAAGAGCGTGCTGACAGGTTTTATCTCAGGGGAGCAGAAAAACGAAGGTTGCTTGGTATTCTTTTTCCTGCGATTCAAGTCAGCGGCTGCTCACAGGTTACTGATATGAGTTCAGAAATGATCAAATAAACCAATCAGCACAGTAAGAAAATAAAGGAATGGGGTCAAGTTGCAGTGACAGACTCACAGCCATCCTTTAGAGACCTTTGCAGGAACCTCCTGGAGCTCCAACTGCTTGCTGTGACTATCCAACAGTACTTCTGAATGCATGCTGCTTCCCTTGCGGCAGCACGGCTGTTGTACCTGTGCTCTTTCTGGCCTCCAAGATGGCTCATTTCCTTGATTAGGCTGCTATTCTGTCAGGGCTGGAAGTTGCTCATGACCAAAGCACTTTAGTAACAATAAAAGCTGTTGATCCAGGTGGCAGAGGGAAAAAGACAGCAGAGCTGGCTCAGAAGCACATAGCAAATAAGCAGCAAAGCCCAGCTCTCATGATCTGTTCTCTATTTTGTAGATGATTATCAATCAGTCCTTTTTTTATTGTTGTTTTCTGTATTTTTTGATATATATATATATTTTTTTTTTCCAGTGAAATGTATTGCAGCATTTTCCTTAATGGAGAACAAGTCAATTGATTTCTCCATTTGCAATCTCATATATGTGTGTGTGTGTGTGTGTGTGTGTGTGTGTATATATGCATATACAAATACGTATGCATAAACATATATACATATTTATGCATATATAAATATATGAATGTATGCCTGTACAGAATTGTCTCAAAACTGGTACGAGTCTAAAGCAGGGGGAGCACTACTGAGCTTTCTAGATGAACAAGCAGTCTCTGAGAGGCAGGCAAATACCTGATGTGTGGGGAGTGCTGATGTAACCCAGCTGGGGCATCACTTTGGGCTACTTACCTTTGCACAAGCACAGTCTGTTAGTTATCACAAAGGTCTAGAGATGGAGGGCTTTGATCCCAGCAAAATAGCTCACCACGGAGAGATGCCTGCTTTCCAGCACTGTGGCCATGTGTAGAGATTGTAGAGCAGATGTGGTAAATTCCAGCCTCTCTCCTACCAGCCAACTCATAAAGTCTTTTCCCACCCTTCTGCAGCCTTTCACAGACAGCTCTGCCATGGCATGGCTGGAGAATCCTGTCAAAGTACTCTGGGAGGAGTAGTCCTACCTTCTGACCATTGCAGGCAGTGGGAGCAACAGAGCTGGTCCAGAGCAGATAAATATGAAACACGTGTTGGCCTTGCCACATGGCATAAACTACAACAGCGCAAACAGTTCCTACTCTCCCTCCCTTGGTGCAGCTGTGGATCCGATGTCTGTGTCATTGAGTGCTGCCCACGATGTCTCAAACAAAATGCAATGTTATGTGCCACACCAGAGAAGCGGGACCATGGGCTGCAGTGATTGAACTGCCTGAAGAACCATCCTGGTAATGTGACAGCTGTGAGCGAAGTCAGGCAGGCAGCAAAGAGCATCCTTTGTGCTCAGCTCCTGCAGGAAGAGCTATCACAGGATGCTAGGAACGGCTGGGCTGGTTTAATCAAGTTAATTGGCTGTCTTGTCATCCTCTCTCCTCAGAGGCCCCACTCATTGGCTGCCTGTGAATTTCCTTTGCAACTCACCAGGTGGCATTCCCCAAGCTGTGGCTGGAGCATGGCAGCATGCCCAGGTGGTTGTCACTGCCATGGGCACCACACTGGTGCCTGCCCCTGTCTGTGCCAGCCTCAGTGTAAGGTAGTGCACACAAGCAGTTTGTGTGCCCTCATCCTGCCTCACCAGGAGCTCTCAGTGCTTTGCCTTATGTTGGGTGTTGTGTCGAAGATGGGAGAAATACATCTCAGACTGACAGCAGTTCCTCAGACAGCAATAAAAAACACTGAGCTCTAGCAAGATTCTGGAGTGAAGGTACCAAGAATCAATGGAGGTTATCAGGGGTTTATGAAATCCCATTGGATGGCAGATGTAATGTGGAATTAGTCTCTGACCCAGCACATTATTAGTGGAGAGTCTCTCTGCTCCCGTGAGCTCTGAGGCTCTCAAAAAGAGGCTTTTTTTTTCCCCTCTCAGTGAGCCTCCAGCACTCCCCGTGCACCTTTTGAGACTAATCCGCAGTGACATCCTACATTACAAGGTTAAGTTGGAGCCTTCAGACCCTGCACTTTGCAGGTTGATATTTTCCCTTGTAGTAAATCCTACCTATCACTCCAGCCTGTCATCTGGTAAGGATATCAGTGCCACTTCTTTGACACCTCCTGACAGAACGCATATGGGATGAAGCTCTCCCTTCAGAATGGGAGGGAAGCAATGAGGCAGCCGTAGTGTTTGGGGGATTGGCTTCTCTCCTTCCTCTCTGGGATGGCAGAGCTCTTTTGTAAACTAGACAGGAGCTCCGTGCGTCGAAATGCAGGAAGAAAGAGCGCTCTTGGTACTCCAAATGTGTAGTTTATTAGAAACTGCCTCCTTGAAGCCTGGAGAGAGCATAAAAGGAGCAATGGCTTCTGAATAACAGGTAAGTTTAAGGGGTAAGCTCAAGCTGAACAGAATGACAGGTAAGCTAACTCAGTTTCAAAAATCTGCTTTGGAAAAGGAAAGAACCCTGAATCATTTTCTTGATGTTTCTCCACAGAAAATAAATATTTAAGGGCTCTTTACCTGTCAGTACTTTTTCCTGTCTTCTCCCAGTTCATCACTCACAGCAGGTGTATGATCCCTGCTTCTCCTCCTGGGTTGCACAACCTTTCCTTTCCCAAAGGAGGGGGTAGAAACAGGTAATAATATTCAGCAACCAGCAGCCAACAGTGAATAACAATCTTGTGCAGAGGGCTTTTTCAGTTCAGCAGCTGCTGACAAAATTTCATAGCCAGTCTTAAATGGTCTGGCTCTAAACAGCAGGAGTCACCTCTATAGCAATTTATGAAGATATTCCTCTATCTGGTTATGTTTTTGCAGTTCATGGAGGTTTGTACACTCAGAAATACCGTCGTCATCTGGGTAAGGCAGATGCACACACTGGTGTTTGTGCCAAATCAGCCTGAGCACACAGTGGGAAGTTTATGCCTGGTTTGTTCTGGCTGGGAGTAGGCAGGTGGTACCTGCTCTGACATAGGGCTTATGGATGGAAAGATGACACTACAACTTACTGTTTTGAATTTATCTTAATGAGCAGAGAGCTTGGCAGCCCATGGCCTAGGGTGGTTTGGAGGTGATACTCCTATGGTGTCAGTCACAGCGTGTGTTGTGCAGGCTGCCTGCCTGCAACAGGCTATGCATCTCGTGTGACTGCCTCAATCCAGAGCAGTCCTCCTAGGTTAAGCAACAGGGACTTCTGAT